CGCCCTTCCGGCCCTACCGTCCCTCCACGCCTCCTCCCCTCTCCCTCCTCTCCCTCCCTCTCCCTCCCCACTGCCTTGTGAGAGCCTTGCCTACAGGTTCCCACCTCCATCATGGACGGTTATGCGGTCGTGTCGTCTGATGGAGCTGGGGAGTTCAACATCGTCGGGAGTTCACGAGCAGGTGCAAGTGAAGGAGTTTCTGTATCTGCCGGGAGCGTGTGCTACATCACCACCGGGGCTCCTCTACCTGCGGGAGCGGATGCGGTAGTCATGGTGGAGGAGACACTACCTGGTTCCTCCGAGGGGAGGGTGAAGATCAGCAAGGCAGCGAAGCCCCGGCAGAATGTGCGGGAAGTTGGATCGGACATGGCGACAGGGGAGAGAGTGCTGGCAGCTGGTGAGAGGATCGGAGCTGCTGAGGTAGGAAGAGGAGGAGGGGAGGAGGAGGAGGAGGAGGAAGGTCAGGACGAGAGGAGGAGGGGAGGAGGAGGAGGAGGAAGGTCAGGACGAGGAGCAGATTTGTTGGAGCTGGTGCTGATGCTGGAGGAAGCGAAAGAATGCGGGCGATGAGATGGGGAGCGAGTGTTGGCGATGATGCAGTTTCAGATTGGATTGCTTGCTACTGTTGGTGTTGCAGCAGCGAAAGTTTTCTCAAGACCGAAAGTTGCCATCATGTCAACAGGGGATGAACTTGCAGATGTGACGGTAAGAAACTTGTGAGAGAAGGTGTTCCTGAAACGTTTTCTTACAGGCATCATCCCCTTTAACACCGGGAATCGTGAGTTTCATTCTGACATCTACTCTTTCTTTCTTCTTTCTCTCTCTAACTTTTCTCGTCCTCGTCCTCTTCCTTGCCCTCCTCGTCCCTGCCCCCCTCACCTTCCTTGCTCTCAAAACCATCCGTCTCTCACCCCTCCTTTCCTTCTCTTCTTCTGTTTTCTTGGAATGGACAAGGTGTGAACTTGTTTTTTCGTCTGGCAGATTCGAGACTCTAACAGAAATATGCTGCTTGCTGCCTGTGAAAAGCTCGGAGCTGAGGTACGATGTTCAATCTCCTCCTCCTCCTCCTTCATCATCAATATCATCAACATCAACATCATCAACATCAACATCAACATCATCATCATCACCACCACCACCACCACCACCACCACCACCACCACTGCCGCCGCCGCTGCCACTGCCGCCTTCATCTTCATCCATCATCGCTGTTTCTTTTCTCCTGCAGTTTGGTTTGCCCTTCTGATTTAAAATCTCAAGGTGATTGATATGGGAATCGTTAATGACAACTCCCAAGCTCTTGAACAAGCTCTTGATAAGTAATGCGTGAAAAATCGCAGGAAGAGCAGGGACAGAAGAAGGCGCAGGAGAAGGGGCAGGAGCAGGAGCAGGAGTAGGGGCAGGAGCAGGAGCAGGAGTAGGGGCAGGAGCAGGAGGAACGATATATCGGAGGTGGGAGATTAGAGCAGAGTTTGGTGCTAGGGGCGAGGACGTGGACGTGGACGACGGGATCAAGTGGAAGCAAGAAGGAGAGGCAGGAGGAGAGGAGGATGGGTAGAAGTGAGAAGGGAAGATTTTAGAAGAGAGGAGGAGAGCAAGTGAAGCAGGAAGAACGGAAGAGGAGGGGAAGAGGAGGACGGGGAGGACGGAGATAGAGGAAAGGCAGGAATGGAGTAAGTTTGGCTTCAGGGTGATAGGGCAAGGAGCAAACATGCTGATCACCTCCGGGGGGGTTTCGATGGGAGATCGTGACTTGGTGAAGCCTCTGCTGGAGAGGAGGGGAAAGATTCACTTCGGAAGGGTGAGAGACTGCTGACATTATGCCTCTGTTGCTGTTGGTGATGCGAGGGGAGGTGGAGGGGAGAGGAGAGGAGTAGGAGAGAAGGAAAGTAGAGGAGAGCAGAAGGATGATGGAGATGATGATGATGATGATGGAGATGATGATGATGATGATGATGATGATGGAGATGATGATGATGATGATGGAGATGATGATGATGATGATGATGATGATGATGATGATGATGATGATGATGATTGTGGTCTTGACGACGAACAGGTATTGATGAAACCTGGAAAGCCTCTCACGTTTGCCACCCTTGACGTGAAGAGGAGCAATAAAGTGAGTTACTTGCTTCTCTGTTTGCAGACATGTCAAGTTGGTGTCACGACTGCTCTCTGTTGGTGTTTTGGACTTCCCTGGCAACCCTCGCTATTGCGCTGCTCTCGTTCCATCTGGTGAGGTCTGAC